GAGGGAAACAAAAATTGATGTCTCTCTCTCTCCCTCACTCCCTCCTCTAAAATAGATACAAATTAAAACTAAACACAAAAGGAAACTGTGACACATTGATCTGCACTATTGGCCATGAAGCCAGGAACTCAGGGCCACAGTCACAGGTCCGTCACAGTGACTGTCTCTCCCTCCCTCCCTTCCTCCCTCCCCGCTGTCTGCCGCCGCCGCCGCCATCTCCTCCTCTCCCCTCTGCCTTCTCATCCCTCAGTTCTGCCTTTGTATCATCTGCAAAGAATTTTTATGCCTCTACCTCCAGATCCTTCCCGGAAAGAAACGTTAACTGGTAAAACCTGACAGATATGCATGAATAGACTGCACACGTGTGAAGGCATCCTGGGTAGCCTCAAATAAATTCTGCATGTGTGCAAATGAATTAGGCAGGCCCATAAATAAATTATGCAAATATAGCCTGCAGTCTCCGGGATTGTGGGAAATAAATTAGGCAGATGTTTTAAACCAGTGGTTCTCAGCCTTCCTAATGCCACGACCCTTTCATACAGTTCCTCATGTGGTGGTGACCCCCAATTTCATGGTTACAAATTGAACATAACTAAAGCACAGTGATTCATCACAAAAGCAATATGTAATTATCTATGTGTTTTTCCGATGGTCTTAGGCGACCCCTGTGAAAGGCTCGTTCGACCCCCAAAGGGGTCGCGACCCACAGGTTGAGAACCGCCGTTTTAAACGCAGGCTAGACAGGATGCCGGGTAAGACACTGGACCAACGCGAGGCAGATGAGCATGTGAATGTGGGTGTAAATTATGCAGCTCGGTCTCAATTTTGCCTCACTATTGGAATAAATTATGCAAAGCGGGCTTTGCTGCGGACTGGGCTTCTACCTGTGCTGATGTGAGTATAAATTACAGTCAGGTGGCATAAATTATCCGAGCATCAGCAATCACTGGGGAATGGGGAATGGAGGGTGCGAACCACGACAGCCTGCCCGGGGAATTCAGAGCTAGAGGCGGCAGATGTGGGCATGTATCTGTGCATGTCCACGGATAAGTTATGCAAATTGCACCCGTTGCCCAAAGCAATTAGCATCGTCAGGAAACACAAGGCTGGCTTATGCGACCGGAGCATGACTTGTGCCCAGGGGGGCGTGTCTCCTGGAAAAAGGAGAAATAAATAATGCAAGGGCCAGGGCGAGGAGGAGAACGTGACCACACCTAGCGAATAGCTGGCTCCCGGAACGGCAGGATGCATTACAGAGGCCACAGGGAACGCAGCACACGTGGCTCCCTTGTGAGAGTTAAAAGGTGGGGCTTTCTGGGTGGCAATATTGCCACTGGCACCTCCCCCACCCCCAGCAGAGGACCCCTTTCCAGGGCCTGGAGCACCATCTAGACACGGCTTGGGAGCACCCTCAGGACTCCAGCCCCACTTGCCCTCCCTCTCCAGGCGGAAGCTCTTGCTCAGGGCGTGACCGGGCGCCCTCTGGGGTCTGAGCATGCATTTGTGCGACACATGAACCGGCCCCTTAAGCCCAGGGCGCTCCCCGCCCCTGGGTTTTGCAGACATGCATGCACCGAGGCGATGTCCACGGGGCCGTGCCTACCTGGACCACCCCCGGGGAAAAGACGGCCAGGATGAGGTACAGCCAGACGTAGGCGAAGATACTCCAAGAGGCCGTGACGAAGAAGACTCTCAGGTGCTTGATCTTGCGGCTCTCGCCGGCCGGGATGACGTACACGCACACGGCAATGACCACGAACATGTTGAAGGCCGCGCTGCCCACGATGGTGCCCGGGCCCAGCTCGCCCGCCTGGAAGTTGTGGCCGCAGACCTCGATGACCGACAGCAGGATCTCGGGCGCCGAGGAGCCCAGGGCCATGAGCGTGAGGTTGGACACGGTCTCGTTCCAGATGCGGACGGTGCCCACGCTGGTCTCGCCGTTGGCCTTGGTGATGGTGATCTCCTTCTCCTTGGACGTGATGACCTCGATGGAGGCCATGAAGCGGTCGGCGATGATGGACACGCCCAGGAACATGTAGACCATGGCCACAAAGTAGACCACGGCCCGGGCCGCCTTGTCGCCCAGCGATGGGTCGTCGGGCTCCCAGACGGGCAGCAGGACCCCCGGCTGGCAGCGGTTGGAACCCTGGCAGACCTCCGTGCTGGTGTCGCTGTCATTGGTGGGGGAAGGTGGCAGAGAGGGGGTCGGGGTAGCTGCCCCTGAGCAGGGGGGAGCCCCCAGGAGGAGCGCAAATCCCACCAAGGCCAGGGGAGCCATGGAGGGTGGCGGGGTCCTGCGGGGGAGGAGGAGGAAGTCTGGGTGAGAGGAGGGCACCCCTCCCGGACACACAGGAGTCAAGGCTTGTTGGGGTCGGAGAAGGAGGGGGAGGCTGAGGACCAATACAGGGAGGATGGAGACCGAGGGAGGTAGACAGAGACGAAAGGAGAAAGACCCAGAAAGATAAAGACAGACGCGCACAGCAGATGGGACTGTAAATTGGTGTAACCACTCTGGGAAACCATAGCTGAACAATGTGCACGCTACGACTCAGCAATTCCGCTCCCAGGCGTTACCCAGGAGAAACAGGTCATGTGTCCACCAATAGACTAGACACATACAAGAGTGTTTAAATATATATCCTATATAATAAAAGCCTAATATGCTAAGGGTCTGGTTGTCCAGTCAGCCGTTCAACCAATCAAAGCGTAATATGCTAATGATATGCTAAGGTCACTCAACCACTCGCTATGACATGCACTGACCACCAGGGGGCAGACAGTCGACCAGTCGACGAGTTGCTATGATGCGCACTGACCACCAGGGGGCAGATGCTCGATGCAGGAGCTGCCCCTTAGTGGTCAGTTTGCTCCCACAGGGGAAGCACAGCTCAGCTAGAAGCTGGGCTCACAGGAGTGGGCCTAAGCCGTCAGTCAGATATCCCCCGAGGGCTCCTGGACTGTGAGAGGGCACAGGTTGGGCTGAGGGACAACCCCCCCTCAGTGCACAAATTTTGTGCACTGGGCCTCTAGTATATATATTAAATTGATTTCAGAGAGAGGAAGGGAGAGAGAGAGAGAAACATCAATGATGACAGAGAATCATCGATCAGCTGCCTCCTGCATGCCCCCCACTGGGGATCAAGCCTGAAACTCAGGCATGTGCCCTGACCAGGAATCGAACCGAGACCTCCTGGTTCACAGGTCAACGCTCAACCACTGAGCCACTCTGGCTGGATTACAAGAGTGTTCATATCAACTTTACTTCTAATAGCTGCCACTTTGGAACCGCCCAAATGCCTGTCAGCAGTAAAATGGAGAAGTATCATGTGGGCACACCGAGGAATATTACACAGCACTGAAAAGGGAGTGGGCTACCGATACACCCAACAACACAGATGGATCCCACAGACACGCAATGCATGGATGAAGCCAGGCACAAAAAACACAGACTGAATAATTCAGTGGGTGAGGTGAAGGGCTGGAGGCGATTCATTAGGTCAGCGGTTCTCAACCTGTGGGTCGCGACCCCTTTGGCGGTCGAACGACCCTTTCACAGGGGTCGCTTAAGACCATCCTGCCTATCAGATATTGACATGACAATTCATCACAGTAGCAACATGACAGTGATGAAGTAGCAACGACAATAATTTTATGGTTGGGTCACAACATGAGGAACTGTATTTAAGGGGCCAGAAGGTTGAGAACCACTGCATTAGGTGATTCTAATATTTCCCAACTTGGCCCTCAGTGTGCTCAGGCTCGAATCTGGGCTGCAGGGGGTGCTGGGGTGTCTGTCTGTCTCAGATGGGGCTGCGAAGGGGCTGCTGGAGGGCCTGTCACACACACACACACACACACACACACCTGGTGGCAGGTGTCTCTCTCCAGTCTCTGTTAGGTGCACAATTCCTTAGCAGCTGTGACATATGAACCGTTTTGGAGGTTTTGTCCTGTCTGTGGGTGTGGGGTGTCTACTATCAA